GAGCCCGACAAGATGCGAACCCTTGCATGAGCCAGTGGCTTGAATTTTGAAATGCAGGGGAAGGGAAGTCAGAAGTTTTTCCAATTTTCCAATGAGTTCTTGTACTTGTCGCGATCTTTTTTCTTGAAGCTTTCCTTTCTCTGTCTAGGTGTTAAACCCAGTCCCAGGCTGTGTAGAGTTGTAGAGCTTCGTAGCTACCCTGGGAACTGCGTGTTCGAGCAGGGAGCCCAACAAGAAGCGTCGCACCGCTCTGTGCCACGCCGGCTCCATTGCAGACCTGTCTCGGATTTCCCTTCGCATCGCCGAAGAGAGCCGACGTTGTCGGATCGTGGTTTTGGGTCCGGTTGCTCTCAGCTTGGCTCCTTGTTTTGGTGTCTCCCATTGCTGGTGAGCCACCGTTTAGGCTATCGCTTTCTTCGAAGAACTAGCCTCAGGCCATGAAGCACTGCTTCCCTCTGTTCGTCTCCCAAGATACGCAAGTTTTCTCTGAAGCAGTTCCCTATGTCTCTGCAGGGGCTGCGCCTGTTCGACAGGCAGGTGAGGGACGTGTTGGGAGACTTGCAGCGTGATCATCTTCGATGAGCCTGCTGGAAGGGCCTGACTGGCCTCTGGTGCTTTCTGGAAACCCGACCCTGGATGCCAACGATCTAATAGTCATGCAGCTTCAAGGTGCTGCTGTGCCGCGTCCACGGCGTGTTTGGTGGCCGCCAGGCGTGCCGGGTCAGCAGCCTCAGGCGTGAAGGTCGCAGGACGCGTGTGTGCTGTTATGTGGCTGTCTTCGTCAGTGTCAGCGCGTAGAGTCCCATGCTAAGCTTTCGATAATGTCACTTACATCTTAGTGTGTCTGCCCCCCAGGCGGTGCAGAAGCCCAACACAGTACTTGAAGCCTTGCTCGAGCGACCCGTGTTGCTGCTGGGCTGCTCGCTCTTCAGCCCCTCTTTTAGAGTTAGTGGAGCGCATGAAAGGAGATGGCCATCACAAAGACTCTTCGGACTACATGGACGCCATGCATCGATAGGACTGGAGCCCTGTGAAGGCCGACCTCCGCTGTTGCGACTGCGCCGCGTGCGCAGAGGCCTTAGTGCCGGCTTGAAGCCACGGTGGAGGGCACAGGGTCATAGGGCATTGCATGATCGATGCAAACTGAAGTGCCCCAGAACAGCTTTGGGCAGCTCGGGATTGTGCGCGGCGGGTCCAAAGCCACCCTGACCGTCGCGGTACAGCAGTTTTGATTATTGAGGCAGGAGGCACCGCGGTGAGGTACATCAGCCGACGGAGCCGGGACCTTTGCTTCCAATTTGCTGCAGACTTTGTTGTGAGAACGGGTAGTCAAATCTTCTTATTCAGTGCCTCATGGGTGCGATTCGGCTGTGTGTTGCAATCTGGTCTGCCGTACCCGTTTGTACACACCACCAAGCACGTCAGCAGCTCATCACAACCTGCACCGCATCCAAAACATTGAAAACATGCTGAGATTTTGGACTCGGGAAGACTCCGAGTACTGGCGACACAGGCTTCACAACCAGTTGACTGCGTGTTGAACAATTTCCGCAATATCCTCGCATCAGCTGTGCTCATGCTGAGCCCAGTAGACAATATATCTGCGGCATCAGCAGACACAAGTTTGCCCATCATACCATGGGAGAGCAAGAGACAGCATAGTCATTCGGACAGTAAGTTGAGAGCAGTCCCTAATGACTGGCAGCAGTAGGCAGTGCGAATGCGCGAAGGGATCAGCGAATGCATGTTCAGGTACTTGCACCTGTTGTAAATGGAGAGGCCGGCTTGCAGGTAGCGCATTTATATACATATACAGTCATATACATATATATATATATATTTATTTATCGATGTGACGTTTGCAATACTGAATCACCCCTGTGCTGTACTACGCATGACTTGCACGACCACAACTACAGAAGACGTAGTGGTCAGTCGACCTTGTTTTGCAGTTTCGTGTAGCTTGTGGTAGCCATGGCTGCTGCTGTGCTGACGGGTAGCTTCCGTCCGGCGGCGCCGTCACGTCCTCGAAGCGCGCGGCAAGGGCTTCTGGACAGGCCGGAGAAGCATCCATACCCAACTTCAAATCCAATCTCATGAGCCCTCCCCCGTTGTGCCTAGATCAGGGAGCAGCTGGAACAGCCTCGTGCCACTCAAACCAGCCCGGGGGCCCGGCAAGGTTCACAGCCAGAACAACAGCCGCAAGCACCACCAGCAAACGGACGCCACCACCGTCTACCACAACAAACACGCTGGAGGTATACAGAAGCCGACCATGGGGCTATGGGCATCCACAACTATTTCATCCGTGAATCGCAAGTCTTCGAGTGAGGCTTTACTTTAGTGTTCTCATGCCAATGCATTGATGTCGGCAGCTTGACATTCGAACCGTAAAGTCTTGTCAGTCCTGGGCTGATAGGCCGACTCCCTTCCACGCCCGACGCAGCAGTCAGCGGCAGACACACAGAGTGACAGCTGCGGCGGAGGCAGTGCAAGGGCAGGCTGACACAGATTGTGGCGAGACTCTGTTTCGAAAGGCTTCTAAGAACCTGGAGCGACGGCACCGATTTTGTGTGAAAGTCGAATTCCTGCACAAACCTGGAGCCAAGGTTCGCGAACACGCAGGTAAAGCTCTGATGATCTGTGACATGAAGTGAGCATAGAGCTGTGCTCTGCCACAGTGACTACGCTCGCACAGATTCGGGTTGTATGTCGCGCCAATATACGGATTGCTGATGCATGTTCTTAATCGCAGTCGGCAGCGCTGGCTGCCGCTCTCGCAGTGCGACGGCCGCGTCGGAAGGCTTGCTGGAGATGCGCCTAGGGTTCTGCCACGCGGGCAACAACGGTACTAACGTCGTGCTACCAACACTTAGAAAGTAGAAGCCCAAGCAGTTAATTAGCATTACGATTCCTTAGGGTTTTTATTGCACTTATCGTACAATCTACCCCCAACTCCACGGTCATGTTGAGCCGAGACAGTGAGCAGATTAAACTCGATCAAGCACCGTGCTGGAAGGAACTCATCCGCATTGGTCCAACTTGCAATTCCGACCCTGTTACAGTCAGGTTATAACAACCTTACTCAACCCAACATCTCCCATTCGGCTTAGATCTGGTTCTCTGCCATTAGGGCAGGGCTCAAGTTCGGTTTGAAGCTGCTTGAACTCTTCCGATGGTTCTCTGGCTTTGTCCTCAGGATGACCTGTGTTTGCCTGTAAGACTGTCTTTTCAAGCTCAAGCAAGCCCGAAGCCTTGGGCAAGAAAGGTCCAATCTCACAGCCCTAGACAATCTTGCATCGGTAAAGCCTGAAGCCCAATTCAATTTTGGATTGGACGCCCTTGTTTGGTATGTCAAGGCTTTGAGCCGGGAGACACAAACCCTCACATGTTGTAGGATTCAGTGAGACAGGTCGTCCGTCGGGATGTGGAAAGGTAAAACTAACAATCGAATCCTGTCATGCTTGGAGCCGTAAATTCACACTCATAGCATGCTGCGGAGCGACACATACAGTACCAGGGGGCGGTTCGACAAGGGTGTCCGACAAAATGCTGAGTGACACTGCAGACGGCTTCATCCGCATTATTCGGGTTCACGACCGTAAACCTGCACTCCAAATGCCACTCTTTAAAGTGGTTGGAAATATGTCCAACCAACGGCAAGCGGTGTGCACCACTCCTCATGAGTGACCGATCAACATCAAGAGAAACGTCGCAAAACCACACCAAACCTTAGACCCCAAATGCCCAAACCTGGGAAGCCCCGAGCCGAACAGGTCTTGCTTGGCCTCGGGGGCGCCGCAGCTGCCCCTGCTCCTGCGGCCCTTGCCGAGGTGCCCGCTCTGACGAGGCCCTGTTGTGTGGGATTCGGGGCCAACGCAACCCTTCTGAGCAATGTGGTCAGTTTCATCACATCACTGAAAGATGGCCATAGTCGCCATGATGGGCATGCCTGCCTGCCTGCCTGCCTGCCTGCCTGCCTGCCTGCCTGCCTGCCTGCCTGCCTGCCTCATCATCATCATAATCACCATCATCACCATCACCATCATCACCATCATCATCATCATCATCATCACCATCACCATCACCATCGCCATCACCATCACCGTCATGATAATCATCGTCATCATGATCCTCGTCACCATATTCATCGTCATTATCATGGTGATGATCATTGTCATCACCGTCGCCATCCTCATCCTCATCATCATCCTCATCATCATCATCATCATCATCACTATCACTATCACTGTCACTGTCACTATCAATCATCATCCCAATCCTCATCCTCGCCGTTCCCGCCGCCGCCGTCGTCGTGGTCGTCGTCGTCGTCGTCGTCGTCGTCGTCGTCGTCGTCGTGAACACCATCGTCACCATGGCTTCCCTCTGCTTCCCTCATGTTCTGGATGCTCATCCTCATTTCAAAACCGTTCTTACTTTTCGTGCATCCTGGCCATCAGAATGATGCACATCCTCGTCCTAGTGTCGTCGTTATCGTCGTGGCCAGCACCGTATGATGGTTGATGCGCCAGTATCCTGAGCTACACCATCATCATCTTCTTCTTCTGCTTCTTCGTCTCCTCCTCCTCCTCCGCATCCTCTGCTGCTTCATGTGACTGACGTCATGGCCACGGCTGTGGCTTTGGAGACGAGTGTTCTTACACTACTTGTATCATCAGGCATCGGTCTGGCTTGGTGTCATGGGTTCCTCTTGGGCTTTGCTAGCTACGGATTGTTTTATAGGCTGCGTCAGCGCTGTAGCATTCGCAGATTGGAGCTGAGGACTTTGAACAGCTGCAGGGCCAATTGCGAGTGAAGATCCTATACCCGCATTCCACATCGAGCACTTAGATACCGAGCTCTGCAGGGCCCTAGCCCCCTGCATATCCACGCAGGAAGACGGATGTCTTTGACGGTGAAGTCATGAAGAGCCCGCTGGACTTGGCGGGAGGGGTCGTTGGCTGTTAATATTTGACGGCTACCCTGAAGCTGCCCAGGACACACGAAATTACCGTGCGCTGACCCTGGGCAATGGCATGAGGGTCGAGCCCTGAGCGCTACAGGAACCTGTGTCAGTGAAGGAAAACCTCGGGCGTTTTCGGGAGGCTCTTCGGGATCTCTGGCTTCGCTGCCAGGTTCTTCTGGCATCTGATCCAGATGCAGTCACAGCTTCGAGCGCGCTATCCGTCCACGTTGGCTTCTACTCGGATCCCGAGGAACTTGTGCTGCGTGTTTTGTCGGTGGGAGGTGCTGTGCCGGTGCAGCCCTCATCCCCATCATCGCCAAGAGCCTGTCGGTGTAGGCTTCAACGATTAGTTCATATGAGATAACTCAAAGAGTGGTCTGTCTCCTATAGAAGTTCCGCAGGATATTCCCGGACTCGCGCACTTCTGCGAGTGGCCAGGCAGCTTCAGAACCTCTGTTCATGCAAAGAGGGAATTTTGAGGTTCCTTTTGACGTCTGCCCGACTGCCGAGGCACATGCTTTTTCTGGGTACCAAAGAGTACCCGGAGGAGAATTCTTTCGAAAGCTTTCTGGTTGCGAACTCTGGCAGCCAAAATGCTTTCACATCAGCTGCTTGGCTGGAAGATGAGGGCAGCAATCGCAGCTGCGTAGAGCAGCTCATGGAACACTTCTGTTCTGTTTGCGCGCTTATGTTATGGTACGTTATGGATGAATCTTTATGTCTTTCTTTCTTTCTTTCTTTCTTTCTTTCTCCCTCGCTCTCTCTCGCTCTCTGTCTCTAGCTCTCTTGCTGTTGCACCGTCATTTCTGTCGTCTTGCTTGTCCGCTTTCCGCCGGCCCGCCCATATGGAGCTACTAAATCTGCGTGCAGTGCTGTCTGTGGGCGAAGCAAAACAGTCCAGCTCTGCAGCCTGCATCGAGGAATCGAGCACAACGTACTTCTTTGAAGTTTCCCCGAGCCTCTTGTCCAAATTGCAGTCAGAGCGGGCATGTGTCATTCTTTCGGGAGTTCTTGACAATTCCCTGAAAATCTACATGCTGGAAACCTTGGCAGATCTTCGCAGGTGGTTTGCGCGAGTCACTCCAGCGCTTTGCGTCTTTCTTCCGCGAGCCGCTCTTCACGGCCTCGGCCACAGAGAGAGAGGTGGGTTTGGGACTTTGGGATGGGATCGAGGGAAGTTTTGAGTAGTGAGGGTTGTCAGGATTACACTCCTCGTTCGGGAGTTCAGGCTCACGTGTGCTTGCAGGGGTGACGTTTCTCCGTGTAGGTGCGGCAACCGACAGGTCTACCTCCTCGAAAGTCTTGCTGAAATTGCAGTTGCAGGCACTTGTTTTGGTTGAGTGCAGGTTAATGCCATCAGCTCCGAGTTCGCAAAGAACCAGGAGAACGAGCCTCGGCCACATCAGCATTCACATGGACGTGGATTGCGAGCGAGAGTCTGGGCCGAAGGCCCAAAGACTGACTGTCAACAGCATCCCGACGAGGCCGTGGGATATTTAATGATCACATCTCCCTCTGAGCCCGTCAGCACCATCCTGAACACGTGATGCTCAGGATGGCTTTCGGTTCCAGCAGCTCCTGAAGGGCACTGCATCCGAAGGCCTCTCTGTCAGTGGTGATTAGGTACTGATTTGCCTTGCATTGGACATAGGCTTGCTTATGCCGATTGTGGAGATTGATGGGTCACGTCGTCTGAGCTTCTTTCAGGACATCTCACGATCATCTATGCGTGCATGTGATCACATAGTCTTGCACCGTCCTACTTCCCTTGCTGGTACTAGCGTCTGTTATTTCGTTCAGCCCGGCGATGACAGCTGCAGTCCATGCATCACATTCGCAGTTGAGGGAACCGCCAGTATGGGGTAGAATTGTATGGTTCGGTGGTGAATCCCCTTGTCAGAGGTCCCTGACCCTTCACCTCCGCCGGTAAGGCATTCCTTCCAATTCTACCATGCGGACGGAAAAGGGGCGTCAAACAAAAAAAAACCCCAAAACCCTAAACCCTAAACCCCTAAACCCTAAAACCCTAAAATCCCAAAAACCCTAAACCCCTAAACCCTAAACCCCTAAACCCTGAACCCTAAGGCCTCTCCGGGAGGCCACCCAGAGAGGCATTTCGGCTGCGGCAACCGGAAGACCCTGGTGGAGAGCCGAGGCCTGGTTGTATAATACTTTACTATAGTACTATAGTAGTAAAGCATTATGGTACTATAGTACCATAGTACTATTACTATAGTTACTATAGTAACTATAGTACTATAGTAGTATAGTATTGTAGTACCATAATACTTAGTACTGTCATATAGGAGAAAGAGGACTCCGAGGAGTCAGCACTACTCCCAGCAACTTTGCATTGGCAGTACTGCTACATGTGGCGGTTTTTCGTGTCGTGCTCGTGGTCAGAGTTGTTTCTCTGCCTGTACTCAGAGCCCGTAAACCCTAAACCCTAAACCCGAAACCCTAAACCCTAAACCCTAAGAGCCCCTTCGGTCTTTCACACAGAGCTGAAGCCAAAAAGTCCGAGCGCTGTGGAGGTCGAGGCAGGACCTCCAGGTTGCAGAAGCTTCAAGATCAAAGGGGCCCTTTAAGGTAGGAGATCCCGTGTTGTCCTACAAGGAGTCACTAGGAACCTCGAAGGCAACCCGAGCTTTGGCCTTCAGGGAAAAGTTTCTGAGATCAGGCCCGGAGCAACTTCGGGAGTCCTTGAAGACGTTCTTCGAAGCATCGAATCTGCAGCAGAGGATTGAGGGTTTAGGGCTTGGGGCTTCAGGCCTGTCGCAGATTCCAGAGGCCAAGATTCGACACATCGCCGCGGTTGCGAATACCTTGAACACTGATTGATCGAGACGTCCACACCACAGCTTGTCGGAGTGGAATGTATCGCCTTCCGGCCGTGGCACATTAGCACCAAGACTCACCACGACTGAGTAACAGCCCATGACGACATTGCGACTGCTCGCCGAGAGCCCGTGCAAGCACCATGCAACTCTTGCGCTCGGATTTTTTGTGTGGCTGATGTATTGATTGTTGATGGCCTGAATCTCCCGCAAGGCATACGATCCCGCAGCGATGTCGTTGTGCATTGTCGGCAAGGCGGCCCCCGCAATTCATGTCCAAATCCAATAATTCCCCATGTTGGGATATGTGCCATTTTCGCCGCAGCGCAAGCTCGAATCACGATAGTGTTGCTTCCCTGACTGGTGTCTCAGGAGCCCTTGGATGTGCTTCAAGCTTCGACGGAGGACGGGTGTCTTGGGTGCGTTCTTGCTGCCTGGCCGTGTGATGTAGGAACCTGATTAAGAAACCCCTAGCCCTATAACCCCAATATATTAGGATCCATATTAAGAACCCTAATATAAGGACCCGGGGTTTCTGAATCAGGTTCCTACAGTAGCAAGCAGACTGCAGAGGGGAGCAGAGCTCGGAGCCTGCAGGCGTACTTCGGATCCATCCCGCAACGCCGTTTGGCTGACCGGCCCTGGAAATCGCTAGTGTCCTGGCAGTGAAGCTTTGAAGCCTGGGGCGGTAAGGTCCCGGAAGCAAGGCAATCTGGGCAATGGCATTCGGAGATCATCAGTGACTTGCTCTAGTCTGAGATTTGGCTTCCTTGTTGTTTGCGGTCCAAGAAATCTTGCTCAGGACCCCTATCCACCACGGCTCTCGCGCGGCACACCGCTGATCGTAGAGGCGGTCCCAGTGTCTGAAGCCCGCAGCCCGTCTCACACTAAGTCGGGGCTCAGTGGTGGTGTCACCAGTATACGGAAGCATAAAGGCATAGTCACAATAATAAGACGAGTAGCTGAAGCTCGTGCACATGCAGAATGAACAAAATTGTGCTAGACAACAGCAACAGTACGAACACGGGTAACGCTTGCCCACAAGATCTCACACATGCTGCACTGGCATTTCATCGGTGTTGCGTGTGTTTCCAGCTGTTGAAGTTTAACCCTATCTGTACTAACTGGCTGCTGGTTTCGACGAGAGTTTGCGGTTTGACTCTAAACTGTTGGTTGCAGTCCACGAAGTTATTCTTATCCAGGAGCCTTGGCCGAGCCGAGTATCCGAGGTTCCGTGTCTTTGACATGGACGATCACCTTCCCCGACCGAAAAGCGCGAGAGGAGACTTTATGAATGTACGAAGGTCTCTGCGCCTGTACAGTAGAAGCCAAAAAGTTGGAAACCCCATAGCCTCAATCCTTAAGAGTGATATATAGGGGATCCCAGCACTATTTGGCCTTAACCCGGTTTCCAACTTTAAGGGGTTTACTGTATGCGTACTCCATCATTATTGTTTGTATGCAGTGAGATTCGTACATTACATACATATCTTGCGTGCATGGGAGTGTGGGTGTGTGGGCCGGTGGGTGGGTGGCTGCATGGCGGCGTGGGTGGGTCTGGGTGTATGTAGTATTTGTCTCTGTGTGTGTGTGTGTGTGCGTGGCGTGTGCGTGCGTGCGTGTGTGTGTGTGTGTAATACACACACACACATATATATATATATATATACATATATATGCAGGCACACACATGTGTCCCTCTCTTTCTCTCTCTTTCTTTATTTTTCTCTCCGTGTCTCTCTCTCTCTCTCTCCCCTCTCTCTCTCTCTCTGTCCCTCTCTGTCTCTCTCTGTCTCTCTCTGTCTCTCTCTGTCTCTCTGTCTCTCTCTCCTCTCCTCTCTCTCTCTCTCTGAGAGATAGAAAAATGATGCTCTCTCCATGTCTATTTTTCCTCTGGCAGCGTTAGTGACTTCGGCGTCTGTCTGTGGATCAGGTTCGTTCGTGATTTTTTTGGTGGAGATGGTTGGAGTGTTTGTCTGTCTTGTATTTTTTAGGTTGCAAGGGTCTTGGGCTCCAGTGGGAAGCACTACAAGAGGAGTTTCTCGTGGCCAAGCCAGCAGACTACATCAGCCAGATCCTTGGCCACGAGGCTGCGCAAGCTCATACAGCAGAAAGCCAGCTAACCTCTTACGCTCCGTATGTCGACCAAATTTCGAAGAGTTGTCTGCGAGAGTCAGGCTCGAATTTGTTTGTCCTCATCCTGCTGGACCGAAGACTTGAGGTTGAAGAAGGGTCTAAATTCAAATCAATGGTGGACTCTACGTCCGAGCTTCACGGCTCCCCCTGCTTGGCTAGTCTGGGTACTGTCGGTTACTACAGCTCCTGCTCTGATTGCGAGTCCTCTTCCTGTCGGCGACAAATGTCAGTGTGGGTTGAAGCGACGTCCCTGAACTATAGCGGGTTTAACTTCCACTTACCAGTAGTGGCACATTTACTTCTTGCAATTTTAGCATTACCGCTACTCGTCTTAAGCCTGTTCGGTTTACGATTGCCTTGATTCATGCTTACTGACTGCTTTCAAACACCGGACAGTTGAGCTTTTCGTGGTCATATGATCTGTCAGTTTTGACCGCGAGGACAACGATAGCAAGGCCTGTTGTCTCGCTGCTGATGTTACTTGCCATGATGATGGTGGTGCTTCTGATGACCACCGACGATGAGGCAGTGGGGGCAGGAGGAGTAGACGACGACCTCTGGGGCTGACCCTGCTTCGACACCAGTCCAGCTTCTGTGCCTCCTCCTCCTCCTACAACAACAGCTGCCGCTGTTGCTTTTCCTACTCTCAGTCAGTCCTACTCCTAGACCGACTCCCACTGCTGCTTCTATTTCTACTCCTCCTCACATCACTGCCACACCTGCTGCTACCCCAGCTACTACTCCTGCTACTACTACTACTACTACTACTACTACTACCCACTACTACCTACTACTACTACTACCTACTACTACTACTACTACTACTACTACTACTACTACTACTACTACTACTACCTACTACTACCTACTACTACTACTACTACTACTACTACTACTACTACTACTAAAACT